CGTCGGCGCCTTCGCTGTTAGCCTTTGCGCCCGCTGCGGCCGCCGCCCACGCCAGGCGTGCCGCGGGCGCTCGTGGGCGCTATCTCCGAGCTATCTTTGAAGGGCGCCACAGTCGCGCCTTCGCTGATCTTTCTGCGGCCGCTTGCGGCCGCAACCCACGCCAGGCGTGCCTCGGGCGCTCCTGAGCGCTATCTCCGAGCTATCTTTGAAGGACGCCACAGTCGGCGCCTTCGATGTCTCGCTTTGCGCCCGCTGCGGCCGCAACCCACGCCAGGCGTGCCTCGAGCGCTCTTCAGCGCTTTCTCCGAGCTATCTTTGAAGGACGCCACAGTCGGCGCCTTCGTTGTCTCGCTTTGCGCCCGCTGCGGCCGCAACCCACGCCAGGGGAGGCCTCCCGGCGCCGCAAAATCGCATTCCAGGCTGGCGCCGAAAAACAGCCATTCTAATACACATTTTGTTTTCGAAAATACTGATTTTCTGCTCCCGGCGTCCGGGCACCTCTTTGGCGGATTCTGAGCGCTATCTCCGAGCTATCTTTGAAGGACGCCACAGTCGGCGCCTTCGCTGTTCTTTTGCGCCCACTGCGGCCGAAACCCGCGCCAGGCGTGCCTCGGGCGCTCCTGAGCGCTATCTCCGAGCTATCTTTGAAGGACGCCACAGTCGGCGCCTTCGTTGTCTCGCTTTGCGCCCGCTGCGGCCGAAACCCACGCCAGGCGGCCTCGGGCGCTCCTGAGCGCTATCTCCGAGCTATCTTTGAAGGACGCCACAGTCGGCGCCTTCGCTGTAGTTTTTGCGTTCGCTGCGGCCGCAACCCACGCCAGGCGTGCCTCGGGCGCTCCTGAGCGCTATCTCCGAGCTATCCTTGAAGGACGCCACAGTCGGCGCCTTCGTTGTCTCGCTTTGCGCCCGCTGCGGCCGAAACCCACGCCAGGCGTGCCTCGGGCGCTCCTCAGCGCTATCTCCGAGCTATCTTTGAAGGAGAGCACGGTCGGCCGCAGCGGCCGCAACCCACGCCAGGCGTGCCTCGGGCGCTCCTCAGCGCTATCTCCGAGCTATCTTTGAAGGACGCCACAGTCGGCGCCTTCGCTGTCCTTTTTGCGGCCGCTGCGGCCGCAACCCACGCCAGGCGTGCCTCGGGCGCTCCTCAGCGTTATCTCCGAGCTATCTTTGAAGGACGCCACAGTTGGCGCCTTCGCTGTAGTCTTTGCGCCCGCTGCGGCCGCAACCCACGCCACGCGTGCCTCGAGCGCTCCTCAGCGCTATCTCCGAGCTATCTTTGAAGGACGCCACAATCGGCGCCTTCGATGTCTTCTTTGCGGCCGCTGCGGCCGCAACCCACGCCAGGCGTACCTCGAGCGCTCCTCAGCGCTATCTCCGAGCTATCTTTGAAGGACGCCACAGTCGGCGCCTTCGCTGTCCTCTTTGCGGCCGCTGCAGACGCAACCCACGCCAGGCGTGCCCCGGGTGCTCCTGAGCGCTATCTCCGAGCTATCTTTGAAGGACGCCACAGTCGGCGCCTTCACTGTAGTCTTTGCGCCCGCTGCTGCCGCAACCCACGCCAGGCGTGCCTCGGGCGCTCCTCAGCGCTATCTCCGAGCTATCTTTGAAGGACGCCACAGTCGGCGCCTTCGCTGTAGTCTTTTCGCCGCTGCGGCCGCAACCCACGCCAGGCGTGCCTCGAGCGCTCCTCAGCGCTATCTCCGAGCTATCTTTGAAGGACGCCACAGTCGGCGCCTTCGCTGTAGTCTTTGCGCCCGCTGCTGCCGCAACCCACGCCAGGCGTGCCTCGGGCGCTCCTCAGCGCTATCTCCGAGCTATCTTTGAAGGACGCCACAGTCGGCGCCTTCGCTGTAGCCTTTGCGCCCGCTGCGGCCGCAACCCACGCCAGGCGTGCCTCGGGCGCTCCTCAGCGCTATCTCCGAGCTATCTTTGAAGGACGCCACAGTCGGCGCCTTCGCTGTCCTTTTTGCGGCCGCTGCGGCCGCAACCCACGCCAGGCGTGCCTCAAGCGCTCCTCAGCGCTATCTCCGAGCTATCTTTGAAGGACGCCACAGTCGGCGCCTTCGTTGTCTCGCTTTGCGCCCGCTGCGGCCGAAACCCACGCCAGGCGTGCCTCGGGCGCTCCTGAGCGCTATCTCCGAGCTATCTTTGAAGGACGCCACAGTCGGCGCCTTCGCTGTAGTTTTTGCGCCGCTGCGGCCGCAACCCACGCCAGGCGTGCTCGGGCGCTCCTGAGCGCTATCTCCGAGCTATCTTTGAAGGACGCCACAGTCGGCGCCTTCGTTGTCTCGCTTTGCGCCCGCTGCGGCCGCAACCCACGCCAGGCGTGCCTCGGGCGCTCCTCAGCGCTATCTCCGAGCTATCTTTGAAGGACGCCACAGTCGGCGCCTTCGTTGTCTCGCTTTGCGCCCGCTGCGGCCGAAATCCACGCCAGGCGTGCCTCGGGCGCTCCTGAGCGCTATCTCCGAGCTATCTTTGAAGGACGCCACAGTCGGCGCCTTCGCTGTAGTTTTTGCGCCCGCTGCGGCCGCAACCCACGCCAGGCGTGCTTCGGGCGCTCCTGAGCGCTATCTCCGAGCTATCTTTGAAGGACGCCACAGTCGGCGCCTTCGTTGTCTCGCTTTGCGCCCGCTGCGACCGCAACCCACGCCAGGCGTGCCTCGGGCGCTCCTGAGCGCTATCTCCGAGCTAACTTTGAAGGACGCCACAGTCGGCGCCTTCGGTGTAGCCTTTGCGCCCGCTGCGGCCGCGGCCCACGCCAGGCGTGCCTCGGGCGCTCGTGAGCGCTATCTCCGAGCTATATTTGAAGGACGCCACAGACGGACGGCGCCTTCGGCCTCGCTCCCGCGCCCGCTGCGGCCGCGGCCCACGCCCGGCGTGGCGCCTGGCGCACCCTGGGCGCTATCTCCGAGCTATCTTTGAAGGACGCCACAGACGGCGCCTTCGGCCTCGCCCCCGCGCCCGCTGCGGCCGCGTCGCGGAAACTCCGAAGGCATTGGCGTTGTTTCGGTTGTCGCAGGGCTCTGCCCTAGACGGGTAGTGTCAGCAAGAAGTTGCACACAGCTGTGGCCATTCACAGACTCGTGAGAGGAGAGGCGACGCACGGGCAGTGTTGGAGAGTGCGTTTTATGGCATGACACGCGCGCGCGTTCGCAGGTTGGAAGGGGGAGAGCGAGGGGGAGGGTCTGGCTCCCCCTCGCACACTGTTTACATGAACATGCGTTGCCAGGGACGAGTTGCTCGCGCACAGGTTCAGGAGACATTTTCCAACACATCTTTCGCAGAGGACAGTAGAGACAGATGTATTGGCGATGTGCTGCAGTAGTCAGTCGGAGGAGGGGGTGTTTCAAATGGATGGAGAGATGCATGGGCGGTGCAGTTCCCAACGGCAAGCGTCGGGCATGCAGGATTATCCCCGTTGTTCGAATGTCTGTGAGCCACTGCAGGAAAGCGCGGATGCAATTTGCGAGCTTTGGGTGCGAGATGCATTGGCGATGCGTGCCAGTATGTCGCGGTGGAGGCATTGGCGGTGCAATCCCGCATGGAAGGACAGCGTCGCGAAGCATTTGTATTGGAGTCGCGGCGCTCACTTTCCTGATAGGCGCAGCAGGCAGCGGCTTCTTCCAGATGCACGATGCATTGGCGATGCGCATCAATGGCCCGCGGTAGATGGTGGAATGCCGGTTGCGCTCCTGAGGGGGCTCTCGACGCAGCGGAGATGCATCGCAGGATGACGCACAGAAATGCTGGAGCATGTGCTCTGGCACGCCGCCGTTGCCATTTGGGCTCAGGAGAGGTCTGGAACGCTCCCCGATTGTCTGGCAGGCGCACCCGCCGCCATCAGTCTGCGCAGTTTCTTGACATTGGTACTTGTCGCGCAGTCTCCCCATGGGGCCGCGTCGCTGCGAGGGATTCGTCATGGGGGACGGCGCCGTGATGGAGTGCTGCTTCAATCCGCACGAGGCTGGGAAGAAGGCGCAGGCCAAGTTCAACGGTCGCTGCATGCGGTGCTCGCCGGTGCGCCTCGAGACGGTTTGCAAGGACGCGCGTCAGCAGAAGTTGGCGGCGCGCTTCCTGGTCATCCTGCGCGACCTGGACCAGGGCGTCTTCGACATGGCCATGGAGCGTGTCTCCGCGCACGAGAACGGCAACGAGATCGTGGACCGCGCCAGCGCCATCCTGGCCGAGCGCGCGGAGGTCGTCGACCAGCAGCCGGCCGTGGCAGCAGCGGCGGCTGAGGAGGACCTGCCGGATGACGAGGGCGCAATTGGCTCCAGAGGCTCCAGGAATGCCAGGAGGTCCCTGGAGGCGTTTGGAAGCCGCAGGATGCGCCTGGAAGCACCAGGACCTCCAGGAGGATTCGAGGCGCGAGGGGCCGCGTGGCCTTCCCAGCTCCCTGCCTTGCAGTCGTCGCAGCTGCGCGCCCAGGAGGTTCCAGGAAACCGCAGGAAGCTCTTGGAAAATTCAGCAGGCCCCAAGACTTCTAGAATATCTTAGGAGTTTCAGGAGCTCCCAGGAAGGTTCGGAAGCCGCTCCAGGGGATCCAGGAAGCCACAGGAGGCCATGCCTGCAGCATCTGCCACAGGAGCCGAATGAGGGAGACCAGGGCGACGTCGCCATGCAGCTTGCCGAGGAGGAAACCGCTGGCGCCATGGGGCCCGCCGAGGAGGCTGCCGCAGCCGAGCCGCCGCCAGTGCCCGCTGAAGGCGAGAGCGCGCAGGGCGAGCGGCCGCCGCCTGCGCCGCGCTGTGCTCGGCGGCTGTGCGAGGGGTACGCCTTGGCGCAGGCTATGGGGCGAAAGCTCAGGGCCAAGCAGGAGAGTGGCGTTTGCGTCTTCTCGACGGTGAAGCCAGGGCTTCGCGCGAGAGCAGCAGACGGCCACTGCGTGTTCTGCACGCCAGAGCGCATGAAGGAGCGCATGGGGATCCAGGAGGCCACAGGGGCCATGCCTGCAGCATCTGCCACAGGAGCCGAATGAGGGAGACCAGGGCGACGTCGCCATGCAGCTCGCCGAGGAGGAGGCCGCTGGCGCCATGGAGCCCGCTGGGGAGGCGGCCGCAACCGAGTTGCTGCCAGTGCCCGCTGAAGGCGAGACCGCGCAGGACAAGCAGCAGCCGCCTGCGCCGCTCGGCGCTCGGCGGCTGTGCGAGGGGTACGCCTTGGCACAGGCTATGGGGCGAAAGCTGAGGGCCAAGCAGGAGAGCGGCATTTGCGTCTTCTCGACGGTGAAGCCAGGGCTTCGCGCGAGAGCACCAGGCGGCCATTGCGTGTTCTGTACGCCAGAGCGCATGAAGGAGGCCGCTGGGAATCCAACCAAGCAGATGCACGTAGTTTCCGCTCTGAAGAAGTTCGAGCAGGAGAAGCCCGCGGCAGAGAATCAGAAGCCCGAGATCTACCAGAAGGCGATGAGCAGGCTCCGCAGGCACCTGACCGTGGAGGAGTTCAAGACCATTGTGACGCCGAAGCACTGCTGCCGCGGAGCTGGCGCAGACATGTGCATCTTCAACACCCAATTGCCGGGGAAGCCTGCGCGTGTGAAGAAGAGCGACAACAGCTTGTGCAGTTGGTGCGATCCTGGGCGGCTGCGCACCATGCGCGCCTGCGGCGCGGGCGGCGTCCTGACGCAGTTGGAAGCTTTCCGCGCGAAGGACCCAGTCGTGTCGGCAAAGGCGATGGCGATCGCGAAGGACATCTTCGGGGACGACTACAGAGCGAAATTGCAGCAGAAGCGCAACAGGGCGAACCAGCAGGGAGCACAGCACCCGCGACGCAAGGGCGAGCAGAAGGAGCAGTGGGCCGAGGCTCTGCAGAAGCGACAGCTGCAGATGGCGTCGCCCCATAGGGAACACGAAGCGCGGAAGAGGTACCGCGCTGACGTACTGGCCGACCAGAAGAAGGTCATGAACTCGTTCTTCCCTGAGGAGGCGGAGAGGAGGCCGCGCGGGCGCGCGGACGAGGTCCCGAAGCCAGAGGACGTGCTCCCGCCGCTGAAGGACGCGACCCACTCCGATCTGTCGGCGGGGCTGCGGTCATGGTTGGAGCGCGGTTCCTGGGGTAAGTGCAGGACCTGCGGTTGCTTGCAGCCGCGGCCGATGCACGAAATCGACTTGGCGGGCGACCCGAAGGTGGAGATACCGCAGAGGCAGTGTCGACGATGCAACGCTGGGCGGGACTACTGGGCGCCCTGTCCTGACGACGTCCCGAAGCCGCTCCGCAATCTCTCAGAGGACATCGTGCAGGCTCTGAGACCCATCGACATCGACGTGGGGCCGGAGACGCGCTCTACGGACAGCCTGGGCCGCTGGAACGGGTACCGCAAGAAGGTTAAGATGGTGACGTTCTACTTCTCCAAATGGCGCGTCGTTGACAAAATCAACGGACTTGAAGGGAAGGATACCCGGAGTACGGCCCGAAAGGCTCACAGGTACCTCATGTCTTGCGACGAGTCTGCGTACCGGCGGTTCCACGATATGCACGAGACATTCATGAACAAGCACGGAGAGGACGCTGAGGACAGGAAACGCAGGCGGCCGTATCATTTCCTGCAGGAAGTTGGCCTCGAATGCGCCCTGTGGCCGCAGCTGTATTGGCGCGAGGACATGACAGAGACCCACGAGCAATGGTCCGACGTGCGCCGCGAGGAGAACCGCGAGGCGAAGGACCCGAAGAAGAAGCGCGCCAGGTACGGCGACGACAGCGAGGAGTCGGCCTGCGAGGATGGAGAGGAAGACGAGGAAAGCGGCGGTCAGCGCACGAGCGTGAAGCGCTCGTTTATAGCCAAGTGCATGTCTGACCTGATCGGCTACCAAGGCAATTTCGAACTCCTCCAGTTCGTCTTCGACTTGAACTTGTGGGCCACTCTGGGCGCGAAGAAGAACCTGAATCTTGAGAACGTACCCATGCGCATCCGCATGAAGGGCCATCCCTTCTCCCCGCTTTACTGGAAGGACACGCTGAACGCGTTGGTGGATCTCGTGCGACAGGTTGGCCTTCCGAAGCTCTTCTTCACGATAGCGCCGTGGGAGCAGTCATTCCCGTACCACGAGTGGCTCCGCGACGAGATGTACAAGACGCTGAAGACGCGAATGCATCTGCCCGTGGGCGAGACCCTGCACATCACCCATTCGCTCATGCAGATTGTCCGCGGGGTGATTGCGGGAAACAACCAGCAGAGCCAGGGCCGGGCGGACCGAAGATGGAAGAAGCATGTGTTCTCGAGCAAGACCGACGACGGCGTCGCGAACAAGAGTGTCATCTCGTTCACGCGCGTGGAGTTCCAGGATGGCAGCCGCAAAGAGGGGGCGAAGCGCTACGACGGATCTGGGCGGCCGCATTTGCACGTGCTCTTCTTCGCCGACGAAGACGCCTTGGCTGACGCAAAGCTCGAGCAGCACCTCTTCGCTTCGAAGAGCGACGAGTTCAGCGACCACCTCAAGGGCTACATCGACGGCTCCCAGTTGGACAAGCGCGGCGAGTCGGAGAGCAAGTGGCCCGTGTACAATGGAGAGCCAGGGTACCACGTCCAGGCAGAGAAGCTGCTGCTCCAGCATTCCAGTGCCGACAAAGAAGCTGGCCTGCGCGCCTTCTGCGTGGACGTCATGGACGCGGTTCCGATTCACCAGGATTGGTTGGAATCGGATGGGGAGTCGCTCCTCTTGCAATACGTCACCAAATATGTCGCCAAGTTTTCAGATTCGAGCTACGATGAGTGGATGAGTGACCAGGCCTCCGCGGACAGCGTGGCTCGCAGGGTTTGCTTCGAGTACCACCCGTACGAGCCCGAAATGATTTTGCAGCTCTGCGGCGCGCAGTACCGCCAGGTGGACCTCTCGACGGCGAGCGGGGGCTGGAAGTCAGTGACGGCTCCTTACGCTGGCATGCAGGAGACACCCGCGTGGGTGAAGAAGTACGAGAGCTGCTCGTGGCGCAACGAGGAGATGTGCTTGCTGGACTGGCTGCGTAAGACGAACGATTCTGGCGAGATCGCGGGCTGGCTCAAGGCTCGCCACCAGAAGGCCGTGTACGATGCCGCGTACCAGCATCACTGCGGCACGCTGACGCCTGGCACAGAGCCGCCGTCGCAGACTGCATTTCGAACCGATCTGCGGAAGCAGTACAAGCAGAGCGACGAGAGCGCCCCCTTCGTAGACTGGATGAAGGAGATATCCGTGCGCGCGGGCGCGAGCGTGGCCGACTTCCCGACGCTGGAGGAGTACGCGCGGACTTACACTGTCAGAGGAGAGAAGATAGTGGCGGTGGACACGGTGTTCGAATTCAACGATCGTTACTACGGCCAGTGGGCGGCGATGAACGTCCCGTTCCGGAAATTGGAGGATTTGCAGTGTGAGGTGGTGCAGAGGCTCGTGCCATCGAAGTATCAGCATCTCGCCACAGCGCTGAAACTCTGCAGCGATCGTCAGAGAGTGTCCGAGGAGTTCCAGGACATCTTTGTCGACCAGGCGAAGTTCATGAATCTTATGAAGGTCGCTGGCAATTCCCAGAAATTCAGCGAAGCCGTGCATCGCATGATCGTCGGGCAGAGAAAGCTCATCGACATGTACCTCACGGGCGTGCTGAACAAGGAGGACGAGAAAGGTGGACTGGACGCCGAGGCCGTGGCGATGGGCAACCGAAGACCCAGGCGCACTCTGGGCACTATCTCCGAGCTATCTTTGAAGGACGCCACAGACGGCGCCTTCGGCCTTGCCCCCGCGCCCGCGCAGCCCGCTGCGGCCGCCGCCCACGCCAGGCGTGCCGCGGGCGCTCGTGAGCGCTATCTCCGAGCTATCTTTGAAGGGCGCCACCGTCGGCGCCTTCGCTGAAGCCTTTGCGGCCGCTGCGGCCGCCGCCCACGCCAGGCGTGCCTCGGGCGCTCGTGAGCGCTATCTCCGAGCTATCTTTGAAGGACGCCACAGTCGGCGCCTTCGCTGTAGCCTTTGCGCCCGCTGCGGCCGCCGCCCACGCCAGGCGTGCCTCGGGCGCTCGTGAGCGCTATCTCCGAGCTATCTTTGAAGGACGCCACAGTCGGCGCCTTCGCTGTAGCCTTTGCGGCCGCTGCGGCCGCCGCCCACGCCAGGCGTGCCTCGGGCGCTCGTGAGCGCTATCTCCGAGCTATCTTTGAAGGACGCCACAGTCGGCGCCTTCGCTGTAGCCTTTGCGGCCGCTGCGGCCGCCGCCCACGCCAGGCGTGCCTCGGGCGCTCGTGAGCGCTATCTCCGAGCTATCTTTGAAGGACGCCACAGTCGGCGCCTTCGCTGTAGCCTTTGCGCCCGCTGCGGCCGCCGCCCACGCCAGGCGTGCCTCGGGCGCTCGTGAGCGCTATCTCCGAGCTATCTTTGAAGGACGCCACAGTCGGCGCCTTCGCTGTAGCCTTTGCGCCCGCTGCGGCCGCAACCCACGCCAGGCGTGCTTCGGGAGCCCGTCAGCGCTATCTCCGAGCTCTCTTTGAAGGACGCCACCGTCGGCGCCATCGCTGTAGCCTTTGCGCCCGCTGCGGCCGCCGCCCACGCCAGGCGTGCCTCGGGCGCTCGCGAGCGCTATCTCCGAGCTATCTTTGAAGGACGCCACAGTCGGCGCCTTCGCTGTAGCCTTTGCGCCCGCTGCGGCCGCCGCCCACGCCAGGCGTGCCTCGGGCGCTCGTGAGCGCTATCTCCGAGCTATCTTTGAAGGACGCCACAGTCGGCGCCTTCGCTGTAGCCTTTGCAGCCGCTGCGGCCGCCGCCCACGCCAGGCGTGCCTCGGGCGCTCGTGAGCGCTATCTCCGAGCTATCTTTGAAGGACGCCACAGTCGGCGCCTTCGCTGTAGCCTTGCGGCCGCTGCGGCCGCCGCCCACGCCAGGCGTGCCTCGGGCGCTCGTGAGCGCTATCTCCGAGCTATCTTTGAAGGACGCCACAGTCGGCGCCTTCGCTGTAGCCTTTGCGCCCGCTGCGGCAGCCGCCCACGCCAGGCGTGCCTCGGGCGCTCGTGAGCGCTATCCCCGAGCTATCTTTGAAGGACGCCACAATCGGCGCCTTCGCTGTAGCCTCTGCGGCCGCTGCGGCCGCCGCCCACGCCAGGCGTGCCTCGGGCGCTCGTGAGCGCTATCTCCGAGCTATCTTTGAAGGACGCCACAGTCGGCGCCTTCGCTGTAGCCTTTGCGCCCGCTGCGGCCGCAACCCACGCCAGGCGTGCCTCGGGCGCTCGTCAGCGCTATCTCCGAGCTCTCTTTGAAGGACGCCACCGTCGGCGCCTTCGCTGTAGCCTTTGCGGCCGCTGCGGCCGCCGCCCACGCCAGGCGTGCCTCGGGCGCTCGTGCGCGCTATCTCCGAGCTGTCATTGAAGGACGCCACAGTCGGCGCCTTCGCTGTAGCCTTTGCGGCCGCTGCGGCCGCCGCCCACGCCAGGCGTGCCTGGGGCGCTCGTGAGCGCTATCTCCGAAGCTCTCTTGAAGGACGCCAGCAGTCTCGCTCGTGTAGCCTTTGCGGCCGCTGCGCCTGCCGCCCTACGCCAGCGTGCCTCGGGCGCTCGTGCAGCGCTTATCCCGGAGCTATCTGTTGAAGGAACTCCACAGTCGGCGCCTTCGCTGTAGCCTTTGCGCCCGCTGCGGCCGCAAAAACCCACGCCAGGCGTGCTTCGGGAGACCGTCAAGCGCTAATCTCCGAGCTCTCTTTGACGGACGCCCACCGTCGGCGCCATCGCGTATCGGTTGAACGGCTTGCCCGCCCGCCCGCGCCAGGCGTGCCTCGGGCGCTCGTGAGCGCCATCTCCGAGCTATCTTTGAAGGACGCCACAGTCGGCGCCTTCGCTGTAGCCTTTGCGCCCGCTGCGGCCGCCGCCCACGCCAGGCGTGCCTCGGGCGATCGTCAGCGCTATCTCCGAACTATCTTTGAAGGGCGCCACAGTCGGCGCCTTCGCTGTAGCCTTTGCGGCCGCTGCGGCCGCCGCCCACGCCAGGCGTGCCTCGGGCGCTCGTGAGCGCTATCTCCGAGCTATCTTTGAAGGACGCCGTCGGCGTTTCGCTGTAGCCTGTCGGCCGCTGCGCCGCCGCCCACGCCAGGCGTGCCTCGGCGCTCCGGGCGCTCGTGGCGCTATCTCCGAACTATCTTTGAAGGACGCCACAGACGGCGCCTTCGCTCTAGCCTTTGCGCTCGCTGCGGCCGCCGCCCACGCCAGGCGTGCCTCGGGCGCTCGTGAGCGCTATCTCCGAGCTATCTTTGAAGGACGCCACAGTCGGCGCCTTCGCTGTAGCCTTTGCGCCCGCTGCTGCCGCCGCCCACGCCAGGCGTGCCTCGGGCGCTCGTGAGCGCTATCTCCGAGCTATCTTTGAAGGACGCCACAGTCGGCGCCTTCGCTGTAGCCTTTGCGCCCGCTGCGGCCGCAACCCACGCCAGGCGTGCCTCGGGCGCTCGTGAGCGCTAGCTCCGAGCTATCTTTGAAGGACGCCACCGTCGGCGCCTTCGCTGTAGCCTTTGCGCCCGCTGCGGCCGCCGCCCACGCCAGGCGTGCCGCGGGCGCCCGTGAGCGCTATCTCCGAGCTATCTTTGAAGGGCGCCACAGTCGGCGCCTTCGCTGTAGCCTTTGCGCACGCTGCGGCCGCCGCCCACGCCAGGCGTGCCTCGGGCGCTCGTGAGCGCTATCTCCGAGCTATCTTTGAAGGACGCCACAGTCGGCGCTTTCGGTGTAGCCTTTGCGGCCGCTGCGGCCGCCGCCCACGCCAGGCGTGCCTCGGGCGCTCGTGAGCGCTATCTCCGAGCTATCTTTGAAGGACGCCACAGTCGGCGCTTTCGCTGTAGCCTTTGCGCCCGCTGCGGCCGCCGCCCACGCCAGGCGTGCCTCGGGCGCTCGTGAGCGCTATCTCCGAGCTATCTTCGAAGGACGCCACAGTCGGCGCCTTCGCTGTAGCCTCTGCGCCCGCTGCGTCCGCGGCCCACGCAAGGCGTGCCTCGGGCGCTCGTCAGCGCTATCTCCGAGCTATCTTTGAAGGACGCCGCAGTCGGCGCCTTCGCTGTAGCCTTTGCGGCCGCTGCGGCCGCCGCCCACGCCAGGCGTGCCTCGGGCGCTCGTCAGCGCTATCTCCGAGCTATTTTTGGAGGACGCCACAGTCGGCGCCTTCGGTGTAGCCTTTGCGGCCGCTGCGGCCGCAACCCACGCCGGGCGTGCCTCGGGCGCTCGTGAGCGCTATCTCCGAGCTATCTTTGAAGGACGCCACCGTCGGCGCCTTCGCTGTAGCTTTTGCGCCCGCTGCGGCCGCGGCCCACGCCAGGCGTGCCTCGGGCGCTCGTGAGCGCTATCTCCGAGCTATCTTTGAAGGACGCCACAGTCGGCGCCTTCGCTGTAGCCTTTGCGCCCGCTGCGGCCGCCGCCCACGCCAGGCGTGCCGCGGGCGCTCGTGAGCGCTATCTCCTAGCTATCTTTGAAGGACGCCACAGTCGGCGCCTTCGCTGTAGCCTTTTGCGCCCGCTGCGGCCGCCGCCCACGCCAGGCGTGCCTCGGGCGCTCGTGAGCGCTATCTCCGAGCTATCTTTGAAGGACGCCACAGTCGGCGCCTTCGCTGTAGCCTTTGCGGCCGCTGCGGCCGCCGCCCACGCCAGGCGTGCCTCGGGCGCTCGTGAGCGCTATCTCCGAGCTATCTTTGAAGGACGCCACAGTCGGCGCCTTCGCTGTAGCCTTTGCGACCGCTGCGGCCGCCGCCCACGCCAGGCGTGCCTCGGGCGCTCGTGAGCGCTATCTCCGAGCTATCTTTGAAGGACGCCACCGTCGGCGCCTTTGCTGTAGCCTTTGCGCCCGCTGCGGCCGCAACCCACGCCAGGCGTGCCTCGGGCGCTCGTGAGCGCTATCTCCGAGCTATCTTTGAAGGACGCCACCGTCGGCGCCTTTGCTCTAGCCTTTGCGCCCGCTGCGCCTCGGGCGCTCGTGAGCGCTATCTCCGAGCTATCTTTGAAGGACGCCACAGTCGGCGCCTTCGCTGTAGCCTTTGCGCCCGCTGCGGCCGCCGCTTACGCCAGGCGTGCCTCGGGCGCTCGTGAGCGCTATCTCCGAGCTATCTTTGAAGGACGCCACAGTCGGCGCCTTTGCTGTAGCCTTTGCGCCCGCTGCGCCTCGGGCGCTCGTGAGCGCTATCTCCGAGCTATCTTTGAAGGACGCCACAGTCGGCGCCTTTGCTGTAGCCTTTGCGGCCGCTGCGGCCGCAACCCACGCCAGGCGTGCCCCGGGCGCCGGCCGCCGCCCACGCCAGGCGTGCCTCGGGCGCCCGTGAGCGCTATCTCCGAGCTATCTTTGAAGGACGCCACAGTCGGCGCCTACGCTGTAGCCTATGCGGCCGCTGCGGCCGCAACCCACGCCAGGCGTGCCTCAAGCGCTCCTCAGCGCTTCTCCGAGCTATCTTTGAAGGACGCCACAGTCGGCGCCTTCGCTGTAGCCTTTGCGCGCCCGCTGCGGCCGCGGCCCACGCCAGGCGTGCCTCGGGCGCTCGTGAGCGCTATCTCCGAGCTATCTTTGAAGGACGCCACAGTCGGCGCCTTCGCTGTAGCCTGGCGCCCGCTGCGGCCGCCGCCCACGCCAGGCGTGCCTCGGGCGCTCGTGAGCGCTATCTCCGAGCTATCTTTGAAGGACGCCACAGTCGGCGCCTTCGCTGTAGCCTTTGCGCCCGCTGCGGCCGCGGCCCACGCCGGGCGTGCCTCGGGCGCTCGTGAGCGCTATCTCCGAGCTATCTTTGAAGGACGCCACAGTCGGCGCCTTCGCTGTAGCCTTTGCGCGCTGCGGCCGCGGCCCACGCCAGGCGTGCCTCGGGCGCTCGTGAGCGCTATCTCCGAGCTATCTTTGAAGGACGCCACCGTCGGCGCTTCGGTGTAGCCTTTGCCCGCTGCGGCCGCCGCCCACGCCAGGGCGTGCCTCGGGCGCTCGTGAGCGCTATCTCCGAGCTATCTTTGAAGGACGCCACAGTCGGCGCCTTCGCTGTAGCCTTTGCGCCCGCTGCGGCCGCCGCCCACGCCAGGCGTGCCTCGGGCGCTCGTGAGCGCTATCTCCGAGCTATCTTTGAAGGACGCCACAGTCGGCGCCTTCGCTGTAGCCTTTGCGCCGCTGCGGCCGCGGCCCACGCCAGGCGTGCCTCGGGCGCTCGTCAGCGCTATCTCCGAGCTATCTTTGAAGGACGCCACAGTCGGCGCCTTCGCTGTAGCCTTTGCGCCCGCTGCGGCCGCGCCCACGCCAGGCGTGCCTCGGGCGCTCGTGAGCGCTATCTCCGAGCTATCTTTGAAGGACGCCACAGTCGGCGCTTTCGCTGTAGCCTTTGCGCCCGCTGCGGCCGCCGCCCACGCCAGGCGTGCCTCGGGCGCTCGTGAGCGCTATCTCCGAGCTATCTTTGAAGGACGCCAGCAGTCGGCGCCTGAGCGCTATCTCCGAGCTATCTTTGAAGGACGCCACAGTCGGCGCCTTCGCTGTAGCCTTTGCGCCCGCTGCGGCCGCAACCCACGCCAGGCGTGCCTCGGGCGCTCGTGAGCGCTATCTACGAGCTATCTTTGAAGGACGCCACAGTCGGCGCCTTCGCTGTAGCCTTTGCGCCCGCTGCGGCCGCGGCCCACGCCTGGCGTGGCGCCTGGCGCCCTCTGGGCGCTATCTCCGAGCTTTTTTTGAAGGGCGCCTCAGTTGGCGCCTTCGGCTTTGCCCCTGCGCTCGCTCGCGGAAACTCCGAAGGCATTGGCGTCGTTTCGGTCGTCGCAGGGGGCAGGGTGGCGCTGGACGCATGGGCGACGCATCGCACAGGAGTAGGCGATGTAGCGTCAGCAAGACAAGTTGCACACAGCTGTTGTCATTCACAGACTCGGGAGAGGAGAGGCGACGCACGGGCAGCGTTGGAGAGTGCAGTTTATGGCATGGCACGCGCACGTGTTCGCAGGTTGGAAGGGGGAGAGCGAGGGGGAGGGTCTGGCTCCCCCTCGCACACGATGTAAATGAACATGCGTTGCCAGGGACGAGTTGCTCGCGCACAGGTCCAGGAGACATTTTCGAACATATCTCTCGCAGAGGAGAGTAGAGACAGATCTATTGGCGATGTGCTGCAGTAGTCATTCGGAGCAGGGAGTGTTTCAAATGGATGGAGAGATGCATGGGCGGTGCAGTTTCCAACGGCAGGCGTCGCGCATGCAGGATGATCCCCGCTGGTCGAACGTCTGTGAGCGAATGCAGGAGAGCGCGGATGCAATTTGCGAGCTTTGGATGCGAGATGCATTGGCGATGCGTCCCAGCATGTCGCGGTGGAGGCATGTGGTGAAATCCCGCATGGAAGGACAGCGTCGGAACATTTGTATTGGAGTCGCGGCTCTCACTTTCCTGATAGGCGCAGCAGGCAGCGGCCTCTTCCAGATGCACGATGCATAGGCGATGCGCCTCAATGGCCCGCGTTAGATGGTGGAATGCTGGTTGCGCTCCTGAGGGGGCTCTCGACGCAGCGTCGATGAATCGCGGGATGACGCATAGAAATGCTGGAGCATGTGCTCTGGCACGCCGCCGTTGCCATTTGGGCTCAGGAGAGATCTGCAACGCTCCCCGATTGTCTGGCAGGCGCACCCGCCAGCATCAGTCTGTGCAGTTTCTTGACATTGGTACTTGTCGCGCAGTCTCACCATGGGGCCGCGTCGCTGCGAGGGATTCGTCATGGGGGACGGCGCCGTGATGGAGTGCTGCTTCAATCCGCACGAGGCTGGGAAGAAGGCGCAGGCCAAGTTCAACGGTCGCTGCATGTGGTGCTCGCCGGTGCGCCTCGAGACGGTCTGCAAGGACGCGCGGCAGTCCAAGTTGGCGGCGAGGTTCTTGGTCATTCTGAACGACTTGGACAAAGGCATCTTCGACGTGGCCGCGGAGCGTCTCGCCGCGCACGAGAACGGCAGCGAGATCGTGGACCGCGCCAGCGCCATCCTGGCCGAGCGCGCGGAGGTCGTCGACCAGCAGCCGGCCGTGGCAGCAGCGGCGGCTGAGGAGGACCTGCCGGATGACGAGGGCGCAATTGGCTCCAGAGGCTCCAGGAATGTCAGGAGGTCCCTATAGGCGTTTGGAAGCCGCAGGATGCGCCTGGAAGCACCAGGACCTCCAGGAGGATTCGAGGCGCGAGGGGCCGCGTGGCCTTCCCAGCTCCCTGCCTTGCAGTCGTCGCAGCTGCGCGCCCAGGATGTTCCAGGAAACCGCAGGAAGCTTTTGGAAAATTCAGCAGGCCCCAAGACTTCTAGAAGATCTTAGGAGTTTCAGGAGCTCCCAGGAAGGTTCGGAAGCCGCTCCAGGGGATCCAGGAAGCCACAGGAGGCCATGCCTGCAGCATCTGCCACAGGAGCCGAATGAGGGAGACCAGGGCGACGTCGCCATGCAGCTTGCCGAGGAGGAAACCGCTGGCGCCATGGGGCCCGCCGAGGAGGCTGCCGCGGCCGAGCCGCCGCCAGTGCCCGCTGAAGGCGAGAGCGCGCAGGGCGAGCGGCCGCCGCCTGCGCCGCGCTGTGCTCGGCGGCTGTGCGAGGGGTACGCCTTGGCGCAGGCTATGGGGCGAAAGCTCAGGGCCAAGCAGGAGAGTGGCGTTTGCGTCTTCTCGACGGTGAAGCCAGGGCTTCGCGCGAGAGCAGCAGACGGCCACTGCGTGTTCTCCACGCCAGAGCGCATGAAGGAGGCCGTTGGGAATCCAAAGAAGCAGAGCAACGTGGTTTCCGCTCTGAAGAAGTTCGAGCAGGAAAAGCCTGCGGCCGAGAATCAGAAGCCCGAGATCTACCAGAAGGCGCTGGGCAGGCTCCGCAGGCACCTGACCGTGGAGGAGTTCAAGACCATTGTGACGCCGAAGCATTGCTGCCGGGGGGCTGGCGCAGACATGTGCATCTTCAACACCAGATTGCCAGGGAAGCCTGCGCTTGTGAAGAAGAGCGACAACAGCTTGTGCAGTTGGTGCGATCCTGGGCGGCTGCGCACCATGCAGACGAGCAGGGCTGGCGGCATCTTGGCACAGCTAAAAGTGTTCCACGAGAAGAACCCAGTGGTGTCAGCGAAAGCCAAGGAGATTGCAAGAGGGGTCTTCGGGGACGACTACGTGGCGAAGCTGCAGCAGAAGCGCGTCAGGGCGTTCCAACAAAAGGCCCGGCACCTCCGGCGACATGGCGACCAGAAGAAGCAGTGGGCCGAGGCATTGAAGACACGGCATCTGCAGATGGCACCGCCCCACGAGGATCGCGAGGCGCGGAAGAGGTACCGCGCTGGCGTACTGGCCGACCAGAAGAAGATCATGAATTCTTTCTTTCCCGAGGAGGCAGAGAGGAGGCCGCGCGGGCGCGCGGACGAGGTCCCGAAGCCAGACGACGTGCTCCCGCCGCTGAAGGACGCGACCCACTCCGATCTGTCGGCGGGGCTGCGGTCATGGTTGGAGCGCGGTTCCTGGGGCAAGTGCAGGACCTGCGGTTGCTTGCAGCCGCGGCCGATGCACGAGATTGACCTGGCGGGCGACCCGAAGGTGGAGATACCGCAGAAGCAGTGTCGACGATGCAACGCTGGGCGGGACTACTGGGCGCCCTGTCCTGACGACGTGCCGAAGCCTCTCCGCAATCTCTCAGAGGACATCGTGCAAGCTTTGAGGCCCGTCGAGATCGACGTGGGGCCAGAGACGCGCTCCACGGACAGCCTTGGCCGCTGGAACGGGTACCGCAAGAAGGTGAAGATGGTGACGTTCTATTTCTCCAAATGGCGCGTCGTGGACAAAATCGGGGAACTGGAGGGGAAGGATGCCCGGAGCACGGCCCGGAAGGCTCACAGGTATCTCATGTCTTGCGACGAGTCTGCGTATCGGCGGTTCCACGATATGCACGAGACATTCATGAACAAGCACGGGGAGGACGCTGAGGACAGGAAACGCAGGCGGCCGTATCATTTCCTCCAGGAAGTTGGCCTCGAATGCGCCCTGTGGCCGCAGCTGTATTGGCGCGAGGACATGACAGAGACCCATGAGCAATGGTCCGACGTGCGCCGCGAGGAGAACCGCGAGGCGAAGGACCCGAAGAAGAAGCGCGCCAGGTACGGCGACGACAGCGAGGAGTCGGCCTGCGAGGATGCAGAGGAAGACGAGGAAAGGGGCGGTCAGCGCACGAGCGTGAAGCGCTCGTTTATAGCCAAGTGCATGTCTGACCTGATCGGCTACCAAGGCAATTTCGAACTCCTCCAGTTCGTCTTCGACTTGAACTTGTGGGCCACTCTGGGCGCGAAGAAAAACCTGAATCTGGAGAACGTACCCATGCGCATCCGCATGAAGGGCCATCCCTTCTCCCCGCTATACTGGAAGGACACGCTGAACGCGTTGGTGGATCTCGTGCGACAGGTTGGCCTTCCGAAGCTCTTCTTCACGATAGCGCCGTGGGAGCAGTCATTCCCGTACCACGAGTGGCTCCGCGACGAGATGCACAAGACGCTGAAGACGCGAATGCATCTGCCCGTGGGCGAGACCTTGCACATTACCCATTCCCTTATGCAGATCGTCCGCGGGGTGATTGCGGGAAACAACCAGCAGAGCCAGGGCCGGGCGGACCGAAGGTGGAAGAAGCATGTGTTCTCGAGCAAGACCGAGGACGGCGTCGGGAACAAGAGTGTCATCTCGTTCACGCGCGTGGAGTTCCAGGATGGCAGCCGCAAAGAAGGGACGAAGCGCTACGACGGATCTGGGCGGCCGCATTTGCACGTGCTCTTCTTCGCCGACGAAGACGTATTGGCTGACGCAAAGCTCGAGCAGCACATCTTCGCTTCGAAGAGCGACGAGTTCAGCGACCACCTCAAGGGCTACATCGACGGCTCCCAGTTGGACAAGCGCGGCAAGTCGGAGAGCAAGTGGCCCGTGTACAATGGAGAGCCAGGGTACCACGTCCAGGCAGAGAAGCTGCTGCTCCAGCATTCTAGTGCCGACAAAGAAGCCGGCCTGCGCGCCTTCTGCGTGGACGTCATGGACGCGGTTCCGATTCACCAGGATTGGTTGGAATCGGATGGGGAGTCGCTCCTCTTGCAATACGTCACCAAATAGGTCGCCAAGTTTTCAGATTCGAGCTACGATGAGTGGATGAGTGAGTGACCAGGCCTCCGCGGACAGCGTGGCTCGCAGGGTTTGCTTCGAGTACCGCCCGTACGAGCCCGAAATGATTTTGCAGCTCTGCGGCGCGCAGTACCGCCAGGTGGACCTGTCGACGGTGAGCGGGGGCTGGAAGTCGGTGGCGGCTCCTTACGTCGGCATGCAGGAGACGCCGGCGTGGGTGAAGAAGTACGAGAGCTGCCCGTGGCGCAGCGAGGAAATGTGCTTGCTGGACTGGCTGCGCAAGACGAACGACTCTGGCGAGATCGCGGGCTGGCTGAAAGCTCGCCACCAGAAGGCCTTGTGCGAAGCTGCGTACGAGCATCACTGCGGCACGATGACGCCTGGCACAGAGCCGCCGTCGCAGACTGCATTTCGAACCGATCTGCGGAAGCAGTACAAGCAGAGCGACGAGAGCGCCCCCTTCGTAGAGTGGATGAAAGAGATATCCGTGCGCGCGGGCGCGAGCGTGGCCGACTTCCCGACGCTGGAGGAGTACGCGCGGACCTACACTGTCAGAGGAGAGAAGATAGTGGCGGTGGACACGGTGTTCGAGTTCAACGATCGTTACTACGGCCAGTGGGCGGCGATGAACGTCCCGTTCCGGAACTTGGAGGACTTGCAGTGTGAGGTGGTGCAGAGGCTCGTGCCATCGAAGTATCAGCATCTCGCCACAGCGCTGAAACTCTGCAGCGATCGTCAGAGAGTGTCCGAAGAGTTCCAGGACATCTTTGTCGACCAGGCGAAGTTCATGAATCTTATGAAGGTCGCTGGCAATTCCCAGAAATTCAGCGAAGCCGTGCATCGCATGATCGTCGGGCAGAGAAAGCTCATCGACATGTACCTCACGGGCGTGCTGAACAAGGAGGACGAGAAAGGTGGACTGGACGCCGAGGCCGTGGCGATGGGCAACCGAAGACACGCGCGTGAGGATGCGCAGGGCGACGTGGTCTTCCTCCGGAAACAACTGCAGTTCGAAGAGGCGGTGAACGACAGCGTGGACCGTGCCCTGCTGGCCAATCACTCGGAGGACTGGGAGATGGCAGATCAGGCGCGGGAGGAGGCTTTCGAAAGAAACAAACCTATCATCTGTCTGGGGAAGCCAGGGACAGGGAAGACCACTGTGGTAAAGGCTTGCATCCGCCGCGCACAGGAGGGAGGCGGCCGCGTGTTGTTCGCCCTCCCGACCGCGCAGCTGTCGAGCCGCATGAAGCAAGTGCTGCAGGATCTGGAGGGAGTGGAGATAGCGACATGCCATGCCGCCTTCAAGCTGAATCAGCCGATCACCGAGGCGCTCCCGCTCATGACCGTGTACGACTTGGTGGTGGTGGACGAGGTGTCGCTCCTGGATTGCCCGCAGTTCGAGCGCATGCTGAAACTGTGGAGCGTGGCGGAGAAAGTGCCGGCTCTGGTTTTCCTAGGAGATAAGTATCAGCTTCCGGGTGTCGGAGAGACACGCCCGTGGGAAAGCTGCGCGTGGGATCGCCCGAGGTGCTATCACGTCAAACTGGACGAGACATGGCGCTGCAAGGAGCAGCGCTTCCAGGACATTCTGGACGAACTCCGCACAAGCAAGCCATCGAAGGACACGCTACACAAGATCTGCCGCGGTCGCAAGGCGTGGAAGAGCGGGGAGCCGACCCCAGCGGACCTGAAGGCGCTGTTTGAAAAGCACCCGGACACGCGGATTGTGACCTGCACGCGCAAGGGTGCCGCCACCGTGAACGCGGCGGCCATCGTTGCTCTCTACGGCCGGAAGAGCCCCCTGGCCACTCTCCCCGGGGACGTGGAGCTGAACCCGGAGAACTACTGGGACGGCAAGTTCCGCACCGACCGCCAGCCCATTCCCAGCGCTGTCCCCGTGTACAAGAGGATGATGGTGTACCTGACGAAGAACGTGCGGAAAGAGGATGACTTCGTGAACGGGATGCTGTGCGAGGTGGAGAACTACCATGCAGAAGAGGACATGCTGCGCGTGCGGACGAAGACAGGTCACCGTCTGGCAATTTCTCGGTGGACCGACCGGGAGAAAGGGAATGCCGTTTACTTTCCCATACGCCCAGGGTACGCGAGCACAATCGACAAGGTGCAGGGCGATGAGTTTCGGCATATCACGATTTACCTCGACGGCTATCCCAGGCCGGCGGCGGGGTACACTGCCTTGAGCCGCGTCGCCACGTCGGACGACTACCTCATTGGTGGCCACGTGGAGCGAGGTAATTTCATTCCCGCATTCTGAGGCGACCGAGTGCGAACGCAGCGCCACAGGCAGCTCAGCGCGGCTGCGGATGGCCACAGGCAACACCAAATTTCGAGGAGCGCGCTTCATGCAGTCGGCGCGATCGAAGTCATGCTTCATCTGCTGCTGCGTCGGGTATTCCGCACGGCTTGCTTGCTTTTGCAGTTTCCTTGGAAGTGGATAGTGCAAGTGGAGCGCACTCCCATCGCAGACTCAGAGATCGTTTGCAGAGCACGTGTATGTCAGAACGCGCGCGGCAGCATGTAGTGCGCACGTGTGCAGGGGCAGAGTGCAGAGTAGCACATGTAGCAGGATCCCGTGGAAGGAGGAGCGCGAGGGGGAGGGCCAGGCTCCCCCTCGCACGCCTGGCACGCATGACGAAGTATGCACAGCGTCTGGAAGTCTTTGCATGGTGGACGCCGTGGATGCACTGGCGATGCGTCCCGCTGACGCCAGGGCCAGAAGCTGCTCCATGTTTGTCGCGGCACGCGCCGTCCGTAGGCATTTGAGGTACGATGGGCGGACGCAGTGGCGATGCATTTCCGCGCAATAGAGTTCTCACAAACACGATTGGCATTGGCGCGACATATTCCAAAGTACGGCGGAAACTCCGAAGGCATTGGTGCTGCTTCGGTCGTCGAAGGTTGTGTCCAGTGCAGCACCCACGCGCGTGCTTTGATTGTTCTAGCACATTGTCGCACGATTGGCACGCATGGCGCAGTATGCATAGTATGAGCACGTGCTCCATGTAGGGCGATGCGGATGCATTGGCGATGCTTTCCACGGGCGCTCCGCAGTGCGCCGCCTGGATTATTCGTGGCATGCGAGAGACGCATTGGCGATGCAAGCATTTTTGTTTCGCAATGTCTGCGCCCCCATCAGAGCAGGTGCCTTAAGACGTATAGGACAGTGTCGGGCATGATTTACGTGTGTCAGAGCAGACGAGTGATGTAGCGGCGATGCGCAAGAGTAGCGATCGGTAATGATGGAAGTAGGGCAGGGGTGGCGCTGGACGCATGGGCGACGCAACGCGCAGGAGTAAGCGATGTGCTTTCAGCAAGAGAGATTGCACACAGGTGTTGTCATTCAGAGACTCGAAGTGGAGAGGCGACGCACGGGAAGCGTTCGGGAACACGTTGCATATCATCGAACGCGCGCGTGTTCGCAGGTGGGAAGCGGGAGAGCGAGGGGGAGGTGTCTGGCTCCCCCTCGCACACTGTTAGGAGGGCGTGTCTGCGTCCAGGATGGGAAGCACAACCGCATTGGCGATTGATCGCAGGAGTGCATGAGATATCTGTGCGAGCAGGTTCTTTTGGAAAGGCCACGAACGATCGCAGTATTGAGACTCGAAGTGGAGAGGCGACGCACGGGAAGTGTTCGGGAACACGTTGCATATCATCGAACGCGCGCGTGTTCGCAGGTGGGAAGAGGGAGAGCGAGGGGGAGGGGTCTGGCTCCCCCTCGCACACTGTTAGGAGGGCGTGTCTGCGTCCAGGATGGGAAGCACAACCGCATTGGCGATGGATCGCAGGAGTGCATGAGATATCTGTGCGAGCAGGTTCTTTTGGAAAGGCCACGAACGGCTGATGTTTTTGCAATGTACATCTCCAATCGCAGAGTTCGATGGTTCGGCGATGCGCTCCAGCTGCCATCATTGCATGGTTCACAGTGTGCTTTGCATTGCGTGGGCGCCCGATGCATTGGCGATGTGTCGCAATACTGCGTGGAGAGTACGAGTGCGGAGACTTGCGCTGATTTGCCCTTCGAGCCCCTGAGCCTGGGAGCGCCTGGGAGCGCCTGGAAACGCTTGGGAGCGTGCCGGGAGCGCCTGGGAGCGCGCCGGGAGCGCTTGGGAGCGCCAGGGAGCGCCTGGGAGCGCTGGGGAGCGCTTGGGAGCGTGCCGGAAGCGCTTGGGAGCGTACCGGGTTAACGCTTGGGAGCGCCTGGGAGCGTGCTCGGAGCGTTGGGAAAGTCCTTGGGAGCGCCTGGAGCGTTTGGAAGCGCTTGTGTGTCGCAGTACTGCGTGGAGAGTACGAGTGCCGAGACTTGCACTGATTTGCCCTTCGAGCCCCTGAGCCTGGGAGCGCCTGGAAGCGCTTGGGAGCGTGCCGAGAGCGCCTGGGAGCGCGCCGGGAGCGCTTGGGAGCGCCGGGGAGCGCCTGGGAGCGCTTGGGAGCGCCTGGGAGCGTGCCGGAAGCGCTTGGGAGCGTACCGGGAGCGCTTGGGAGCTTGGGAACGCTTGGGAGCGCCTGGGAGCGTGCCCGGAGCGTTGGGAGAGTCCTTGGGGGCGCCTGGAGCGTTTGGAAGCGCTTGGAGCGCCGCACGCGGTAATTTCTTAGGTTTGGAGCACCCAGGGAGCGCCGCATTGTGTATTTTCATAGGTTTGGAGCCCCAGAGGAACCATCGGCCCCCCGGGGAGCCGCTTGCTAGGGCCGAGGGTTAGGGGTTCCTTTTCTTAGGAGAACACCACGGGGATGCACCGCGCGGCGTGCGAATTCCTCCTCAGCGGCTATCGCCGCTTCGTCGGTGCGGCGCACGCTGTATGGGCAGGCTCGCTGAGCGCTCGGCCAGGCGCCACGGGCTTCTGACGATGCACCGCCCGTGGCTTGCAGTTTAGGGTTTAGGGTTTACGCTTGGGAGCGCCTGGGAGCGTACCGGGTTAACGCTTGGGAGCGCCTGGGAGCGTGCTCGGAGCGTTGGGAAAGTCCTTGGGAGCGCCTGGAGCGTTTGGAAGCGCTTGTGTGTCGCAGTACTGCGTGGAGAGTACGAGTGCCGAGACTTGCACTGATTTGCCCTTCGAGCCCCTGAGCCTGGGAGCGCCTGGAAGCGCTTGGGAGCGTGCCGAGAGCGCCTGGGAGCGCGCCGGGAGCGCTTGGGAGCGCCGGGGAGCGCCTGGGAGCGCTTGGGAGCGCCTGGGAGCGTGCCGGAAGCGCTTGGGAGCGTACCGGGAGCGCTTGGGAGCTTGGGAACGCTTGGGAGCGCCTGGGAGCGTGCCCGGAGCGTTGGGAGAGTCCTTGGGGGCGCCTGGAGCGTTTGGAAGCGCTTGGAGCGCCGCACGCGGTAATTTCTTAGGTTTGGAGCACCCAGGGAGCGCCGCATTGTGTATTTTCATAGGTTTGGAGCCCCAGAGGAACCATCGGCCCCCCGGGGAGCCGCTTGCTAGGGCCGAGGGTTAGGGGTTCCTTTTCTTAGGAGAACACCACGGGGATGCACCGCGCGGCGTGCGAATTCCTCCTCAGCGGCTATCGCCGCTTCGTCGGTGCGGCGCACGCTGTATGGGCAGGCTCGCTGAGCGCTCGGCCAGGCGCCACGGGCTTCTGACGATGCACCGCCCGTGGCTTGCAGTTTAGGGTTTAGGGTTTAGGGTTTAGGGTTTAGGGTTTAGGGTTTAGGGTTTAGGGTTTAGGGTTTAGGGTTTAGGGTTTAGTGTTTAGGGTTTAGGTTTAAGGGTTTAGGGTTTAGGGTTTAGGGTTTAGGGTTTAGGGTTTAGGGTTTAGGGTTTAGGGTTTAGGGTTTAGGGTTTAGGGTTTAGGGTTTAGGGTTTAGGGTTTAGGGTTTAGGGTTTAGGGTTTAGGGTTTAGGGTTTTAGGGTTTAGGGTTTTAGGGTTTAGGGTTTAGGGTTTAGGGTTTAGGGTTTAGGGTTTAGGGTTTAGGGTTTAGGGTTTAGGGTTTAGGGTTTTAGGGTTTAGGGTTTTAGGGTTTTAGGGTTTAGGGTTTAGGGTTTAGGGTTTAGGGTTTAGGGTTTAGGGTTTAGGGTTTAGGGTTTAGGGTTTAGGGTTTTGGG